TTTTTTTTTTTAAGGTGGGAGTTAAATAAAGGCTTAAAGATTGAAAAGCATAGCAAAATGAACCCTAAATAGCCTGGCATCAGTTGTCAGGTAAGTGAGCTTTTAAAGCAAATAGGTCTGTTCTAATAGCTCTGAAAACTTCTGTTTGCTGAACCTGGTTACCCCGTTTGCAGGAGGGATGATGGATGGGACCTTCCAGCTGCAGCAGGACCTGCCTTGCAGGCACCACGAGGGGAATGTCCTTCCCTGGCCTCCAAAGTGCCCTTCATCCTTGAAGCGCTGCTGCCGAAACCTCTTTTCTTCCCAAGGTCATAAGACTTGGGCTTGGCTCTGAAGGTTGCCTGGATGATGTTCGATCCTAAAGCTGCTCCATGCAGAGCAGTTGCTGGATCTTCCTTTCTGCTTGTGCCCGTTACCTATTTTAACAGGTAAGAACTTGCTTTTCTACGTGGCTATCAAAGGGGGTGGGTGAGCTGTAGTTTCTGCATCCACTGGGGATCTGTCCAATTATAGACTGGTGACACAGGGATGTTGGCAGATATATGTCACACTTAATTATGGCATGCGGCTTGGAAGAAATTATGTGAGAGTAACCAAACTTCTGTGAGATGCTGATCTCCAGTGAATTTCAGGTGTGCTGAGGGTTAAATGTAGAGGTGCCTTGTGCTTCCTACCTAGAGTTTACTTATTTCTGTAAGGCTGAGTGGTTTTTTTTAGTAAGTTTGTACTGAAAAAATGTGCTTTGCTAAGGCTTTTGCTGGTAAAAACAAACAAGCTGAAAATGCTTTGCCAAGATTTTTTTACTGGCATCAGTAGATGAAATGCCTTATTCAGTTTATACTGCAGGCAAACATATTGATGAGCTAAATGAGTTTACTGATCAATTAAGCTCTATACTCTGTTGGAGAATGGCAGAATGTTCAATGCTCAGAAGTGCCTGTGTGAAAAGGTAGGGTTTTTAATCAGAGCTGGTGGTGTGCTGCACACATCCTGGTGGATTGGGAGGACAGGGTAGTGCTGGGCTATGTGGAGGCAGGAAGGGCAGCCAGAAATGCAGCCAGCTGGGCCATGGCCTCTGCTTGGATATGGGATGCTCTATTTCCAGGATGTGTGAGGGAGATGGGTGAGGAAGAAGGGGATCCTGCTGTTAGCTGCTGCAAAGCAGCAGAGCCATCACATTAGCACCAGCTGTGCTTGCTGCTCTAGTCACACGGTGGCCCTGAGGGTTAAGGGACCGAGGAGGGGGACGGTTGGCGAGTCCGTCCTCCACCGTGGACTCTGGGCTCGTCTGTACCTGCTGCCTGGTGAAGCTTTGGCAGCTGTGCATTCCTCAGTGCTCTCCCACTGTCCCTGCTCCTAAGCTGCCTCCCTGTTCTTGTTTTCCAGGTGGTACCACACAGCATGGAGGTTGGGACCCACCTTGGCCATCCCCTTTGGCACCTCTGGCCGAAAAGCCTGGTCTGGAGGGCTCTCCTTGGGGACAAGGGACCCAGGGCTCCAGGCAGAAGCACAGAGGGCTGGTAAATGGAGCAGGTGGGAACAGCAGGGCACGAGGCAGTGGGACGGTGGACGGAAGAGTTTGCTGCACAAACACTGCAATGGAACTTAGTGCAAAGTGAATTACTGCTGATTTCAAGAGTAAGAAAAAATCCCTGATAATGGCCTGGCTACTTCATGCTAAAGAACTGCCTCATGTGGGTGCAGAGCTTCCTACATCTCCGCCAGCTGGCTTGCTGAGAAATAAACCCTCCTGCAAAGCAGCCCTGAGAGCAGAGAGGTTGAACAGAGAGCTAAACTACTCACTGCCTTTGCCCAAAACCTGCTCAACTTGGCATTTCCCCTGGCCAGACAGCAGAAGCCCAGTGAGCCCCAGAACCATCCCATGCTCTATAACTACTCAGAGTCCCCACTGCCAAGATGCCCCCACAGTTGTGCGGGGCGAAAATTCACCCCCCGGAGCAGAGCAACCCACGTGAGTGATGTGAGGGGAGACGCTACCGACGGAGCTCAGGGCCTAGAATCTACTGTGCTGAGCAGCGACTTGCACCTCCTTTCAAACAAGGAGGTGAGCAGGACCAGCCCAACCTCTGCCATCAGGTCTGTCGTCCCTTTGCACGTAACAGCACCTTTCTCCAATGCAAGTTTTTAGGTTACACAAACACATAGCTGCAGGCGCTTCCAAGAAAGGCGGGAAGAGTTGGGATGGAGCAGGGAGGATCCTGAGCTGCCTCCCCTTGTCCTCCCCTCCTTCCCTGGCCCCCGGTGCTTCAGCTGCCCTCATCCCAGGCAGGTTCATTTTGTTTTTCTTTGCCTCCTGATATAACTGCAGAGTGAAATCTTGACGTTTCATAGGGAAAATAAGATATTAGATGTTACAAGATCCAAATTTTCTGTTATGTTCAAAAGTTGAAGTTTTACAGCCAACTTAAAGCCTGGTGGTGAGAGAGGAGGATTATCAAGGGAACTCAAGACCTTAACTACAGCAGCTCGGGCTCAGCAGCAGCAGTTTAAATGTCACCACTCCATGTTGTGGAGGAAAAACAAGGAATTTGCACAGAACCAGCTGCCCTCACAAGGAGAGGGGAAAAAATGCAGCTGGCCAAACCATTTGCTGTTTGCTCGAATGTCTCTGGCTCCAGCGAGGGTTGGCAGCGACTGAAGCTGCCCTTTCTCCTCCTCTCCCTGCTCAGAAGCAACAACCGCCTCCCTAGAGCACTGGGGGAGGATCCGAACGTTTATTTATTTTGGATGAGGATCGCTGGGAATGAAAAGTGGTTAAGGCAAGAGCTATTCTGCTAGTGCCATCCAGGGGACAGGAGCTGTAATTCAGCTGCCTGCTCAGGAAGGGGACTAAAGAGCTGAGGTCGGACAGGGCGTCTCATGGGTGACTTGCCAGAGCGGCAGAGGTTGATCAGGAGGAGCTGATAGAGCCTCGAGGTCTCATCAAACAGCAGAGCAAATTCAGCAGCAGGCAGCCAGACAAGGCAGCCTGGGGCACAAGCAGAATTTTGCCTGTACAAAGGGACTGAAAGAAACCATGGCAGGAAAGGGCTTGTCCCAGTGTGACCATATTTCATGGCACCTGTGAAGCTTTATGGAGCTCAGCCAGTGATAGCCTCAGCTCAGCCTAGCCATAATTCAAGAGGAAGCGGGGAGATGAGAAGTACAGTGGCTTGTGAAGTGACTCTGTGCCCTCTCTGAAGTACTAATTCAGACTGCTAGATGTCTCAGTATCTAGTGCTTGCAAACTGGGGCTGCGGTATGGGAAACCCTTCCCAAACTTCTTACTGTGTCATTATCTGTGGCTACTGAGTGTTTAACAGTGATAAAACACAAAGTTGTCTGAAGGAGGAAAGACACTTTCTCACTGTCATAGGAACAAGTGGTGTGAAGAGAATGGGAAAAAAAATCTATCTGCTTCCAGTGTTTTCCTGAGAAACTTTCTCCCCATGTTGTCAGGGAGAGCTGGGGCTTCCCCTCCTGATCACACAACACTGTGTGCGTTGTCCCCACCCCGTTCACAGCTACTGGTGCAAGATGGGGACACTGTGCTGGGGGGAGTGGAAAGGAGGCCTGGATGGGGTGATCCGGGCTGTGTCCCAGGCTGGAGTAGGGGGTGGATCCGGGCTGTGTTCCTGGGCTGGAGCAGGGGGGTTGCTGCTTGCATCCTGGGGTAGAGGCAGGGCAGATCCTGGCTGTGACCCAGTGTTGCCCCAGGCAGGGGGATGTGGAAGGGGGTCCCCAGCCATGTCCTGGGCTGGGTTGGAGGCTCCCATCTGCATTCCAGGATGGGTGGTGAGAGCGTGAGGGGAATCCTGGCTGTGTCTCAAGCTCAAGTTGGGGGTCCCAGCGCTGTCCCAGCGTGGTGGTGGTGGTGGGGAGAGCTGGGGGTGCTGGC